CTTGTTACCGTCAGCCATGACACCATCTGCGAAGACTAGTGCCAAGAACAAAATCTGTTAAGGCATAGACACGTCACTCCAACATTCTGAAAGCCGGTAAATATTTATTCTACACGTATAGACCATTAATCTAAGTAGGTCTTTTTTTTTTGCAGGAAGAATCCAAGTAGCCTTTACATGTGCTACGAGACACAAAAGTACGTTGATGGAATAATGCTTGACATAGGTCAATATTAGCTCAGACAAAAATTTCTACTAATACTGGCAATATACCAAGCACATCAAGACAAAAAATCTTCTCTACTGCATATCGCTTAATCGGACAGAAGCATATAGAAAGCATGAGCCATACCCAACCGTGACGGTTAGTTTTGAGATGTGCATTGATCTCCCCACATGCAATGGTGATATCAATGAAAAAAAATGCTATGTGGGTGTCGTAGTTTGTATTGTCTCCAGATGATGCCAAGACTTTCAAGGGAAAAAGAAATAAAACCACCCATTGATGATGCTCAATCACGATCAAGAACTCTAATGGTGGTGACAACTAGTATTAACTAGATTGTTAAAAAAACATATTAGCTAAGCATTCTATCAGAAAAGCTTTATCCAAGCAAACCCTCATTATCCTAGACTGATAAACATACAGTAAGGTGAGTTCAAGTTTAGTTGATATGCATGGTACTGACAGTAGAAAAAGGTCCCAAAAAAGGGAACACATTGCATCATACCTGTGCCTGTGCCAGCGGAAACTTGGTATGTTGTTCCTCCTCCAAGCATCTTCTGCTTCCCCTCTAGCATCAATGTGTCATAGATGATGTACCTCCCTACTAAATCTTCAAACAAATTTATTACGAAAGCTTCAAGGCCAGCAGGATCATGGCTTCGAGATGAATTATAGTAATCAAGTGTCAGGAACATGCAAAAGTTTAAGGTAATTGTTAAGCTTCCATATGATCTCCAGACAGCTTGAAACGAAGATTGTTGGCCTCCATTAGATATCCGGTATCACATAAGATAGATAAGACCATAAAAATGACTGAAATAGTTCCATTATCTGCTTGTACTACCAAAAAAGAAAAAAAGAATTGTAACAAATCTCCAGTAACATGAGCAAGTTTTGGCATAGAATGTTTGATGCACAAAACTTAGTAATAACCATCAACTTAATGAGTATGACCACAAAGTTAAAAACAAATATTAATGATCTGCACTCTAAACATAAAAAGAGAGAATAGCGATTGGAGTAGCAAGTTGATTAAGATTGACTGACAGATGATTGAATTTTCAGATACATGGCATCAGGACATGCAACTTTCAAATGATAACCACTTTATACAAATACCAAAGAAAAGTGTCCATTCATACTTTGGTATAGGCAATTCTGTAATGCAAGATGCGTCCCCTTGCGTTCACACACACACACACCAAAGAGGAATTCCACTTGTAGGTTAAATACTGACTAAGAGAATAGATTCATGCCTTCTAACAAAGAGACATTACAACAAAATATGGCACAATTGGACTGATATATACTCAGTGTTTATTTTCTTGATGTTAGGACATCTTAACTAGTTCACATTTGCACTAATGGAGTCATAGCATCAATACAAAGAATATGGCGGTAGTGTTTCAGTTATCGTCTAAGGTATATATTTTAATATCCTGTTGCTATAAGGAATGGAACTCAACAACATCTTTACCCCCTCCCAACCCCCCAAAAAAAATCCACCAGTTCTGGTTGGGTCTCCCATTAGTATCGCCAACAAGATTTACTGAAGGCACTCTATTGTATGTGCACAATAAGGTTATCCAAGTTCGAAAATATATATAAAAAAGGATCCAATAACCGAAGACCAACCTCAACAATCACATCATAGGTTCCAATCAAGCAAATGCAAAGTATAACTGCTATACCTGACCAAATTACAGTTCCTACACCAGGAGTATTGATGTGGATCATGTTTATTCCCCATTAGGCAAATAAGCATTCTCTCTGGTTCGATTTAGATAACATTCTAACTGGAGGGATTCATTCAAATACAACCAGGGGGAGTGCTTGTTTCTGGTTTCTGTCCCAACAGTGGCTCACCTTGCCGAAAAGCAAAAGCTAGGCAAAGCTAAAAGGAGCCAAACACCAAGCATGTCCTCGATCACCATTCAGATAAACAGAATTTGCAATGCAAAGATGTATGGCTAGTTCCTGCTGCCTGGTACAACATTCAATGAGTGAAAATTACAATAGTATTCGTCTAAAGGAAAGTTAAAAAAAAAAAAGCAAGAGCCTCCTCATATGCTAAAACAACATCCAAGCACAAAAGCCAAGGAGCATAAAATACCATACTGATGACTGAGCGGTAACTATTAACTTCGGATTCTAGTAATACACCCATATAGCTTTCAAGTTAGCCTGATTCCACATTGTACCAGTCACTTTGCAAATCAGATTGGTCATGCCATTGCAGAAAGCAATAAATTAATTTTATTCCAGTCATCACGTTAAACATTAACTTCACATAAACATGTGATATTTCCCAACAGTGTCAAGTATTTTATAACAACCTCAATCTTTATTGCCCTTCAAAACAAAGAAATAATACATGGTCTTTGCCTATATATATCCTTACCCACATGGACAAATGCATGAACCTATCCACCTGTCAACCTTAATGTTTGACTACATTTATTCAAAATTTAAAACATAAACAAACACCATCAAGTATGAACCAAGTACAAATTAGCCTCCTATGAGTTTTCCTTCTTGTACCTACCACCCAAAACAATGGAAATGTATGCAATCCTGCACCCTGATATATGTCTATGCAAGTGATGCAGAGACATTGGTACCCATGCGGCCATGCCTAACAAAAGCACTGGTAAAGCCTGAGGAGTCGTGCATATTTAGGGCCCCCTAGGTCCAAATGATTGTATAAACAATATGTAAAACAAGTACGCTCTATCGTAGGTGAGAAGACATATTATAATTCAACAGACCTTTTTTTTCTTTCCAATGCTCCACAGCATACATTTTTTTGGGCAAAATGCATACAGGGCATTTAAAACAAAAAAAACTTACAGCACCAAGCTGTGAAGCTTGCAGTATGCAAATAAAAAAGGCCACCCAATAGCTATATAGAGCACAAACATGTCAGATTGTGGAACTTACAATATCAATGTTGTTTTGGGAGTAAATACAATGTCAACTGGCTTTACAAATGTCGATTTTTTGCAGCACTTGGAGAAAAGGCCAATCAAAAGATAAGAAAACTCTTAAAATAATGCATAGTTAGGTGTTTTAGATATGTACGAAATTAACAGTTTGTATTCTTTTATGTTGATGTGACTAATGGAACATCCACATAATTTGAACTGTTTTCAATTTGTAAGATAACTTAATGTGTACCAGGTGCTATGTGCTAACTTAAGCAACCTGGTTGCTAAAGCACCAAAAAAGAACTAAGCTCGCAGGTTATAGCCAAATTAGTGTGCCATGGTGATTGCACTCACAAACAGTTACATCACATCCTGAATGTATTACAAGTAATATCCTTCAGATTCTCACTCAGAAACAACGATTACAAGAATTGCAGCAGAGATAGAACTACAGAAAGTCACAAGTACACCAACAGCGTAAATCTTGAACCTCCATACTACACACCAATTTCATACATACTGTTTGATAAATACCGCGAAAATCAGGTGACAGCCTGACACACATATATACATATATGGAGCAAAGTAAACTAGCACAGACTTTATTCCCACATTTGGAGGGGAAGAACCAACTCACAGTGCATCCCCACCAAGAACTCCAATTCAATAATCACCACGATACTCGCTGTAATCGTCCCTCGCAGCAGGTACCACCTTCTCTTCCACCCGCTCTGCAGCCTTCTCCTCCTTGTACTTCACTCCTTCATCGATTGCAAGGCCCCCGAGGGAGCCAGCCACTGCACCCACTGCAAGCCCGGTACCTACTCCATACCTTGCACTCCCACTACCAACGCCACTCCTCCCTCTCTGATCATACGGCCTGCTGTATTCCACCGGTGCGGAAGGCCCTCCAGTGTACTCATACTGAGGTGGCGGTGGTGGTGCAGAGTAATACCCACTGGGATTGGGAGGGCGATAGTACTGCTCTGGTCCGTACTGCGGCGGGGCCGAGTAAGCGGGAGGTGGAGGCGGCGGAAAGTAGTATGCGGAGCTGGAAGGCGGCGGGTACTGTGGCTCTGGAGGCGGCGGCGAGCGCTCACGGATGGTGACACGGATGCGGAGCTTTCCCTGTGGACGGCCCGAAGGGCGGAGGAGTGGCAGCGTGACGACAGGGGAATCCGTGGGATCGTGGTTAGGGTTAGGTTTTGTGGGGAAGAGGAGCTCGCGAACGGGCGAGCGGGCGGATCCGACTAACGGCTTGGGGGAATCGGAGGGCTTGGAGTGGAAGACGTCAAGGGATAGGAGGAGGGAGGGGTCGTGCGGCGAGAGGTGGGGAGGGAGCGGGAGGACCAGGCGCTCGTTCCAGGTGGGTTTGCAACCGCCAGCGTCATCGGGGCGGGTGGCGGAGCGGCGGGAGGGGTCGAGGTAGGCGACGACGTAGGCGCGCAGATCGCCGCGGCGCCAGTTGACGTTCTTCAGGTGCTTGCCCGAGACGACGGTGAGCTCCAGGTCGAGCGCCTTCGGAGGCCCCGCGGGCGGCGGCGGCGGCATCGAAGATGGTGGAGCTTGGAATTGGGGGTGAGGATTAGGGGGAAGTGGGTGTTGGTGCTGGTGCGGGTGGAGAGGGGAGGAGGAGGGAGACGGTGAAGCCATGGCGCAGTGGAATGTCTGGTGGGGGCTCGCGGCTTTGGCGCCTGATGCTGGAGCTGGAGACTGGAGGTAGGTGATGATGGATGACAACTCATGAAAGTGATTGTATCCTTAAAAAAAAAATCTGCAGACTGAACAAAAGGCCCTCATTGGGCCGAGTTGACGGCCACACGGCCCAGCCCCGCCAATTTTTCAACGGATGTAGCCAGTGGATCAAGGCAGTGGATTGTGAATCCACCATCCGCGGGTTCAATTCCCGTCGTTCACCAAGCCTGCTATGACGAAGGCAACCCGGTACACCGACGGATTTCCTATATATAACGTGCTTTAAGATTCGTGCGCCATATCGATCCAACAACAGCGACATCATTCTCTTCCTCCCGTTCTCCTCTGTTCCCCACTGCGCCGCCGCCGCCACCGCGTCGCCATGTCACCTTGCGCCGCACGAATTGTCCCGACGATTCCACAAATTGTTCTAGCGGTTGTATTAATTGTTCCATCGGTTCTACGGATTGTTCCGGCATGAAATCTATTGTTCCAGGCGAGGAAGGCGTAGGGCGAGAGGCGGTGGCGGCGGGGAAAGCAGATCCGGCGTGAGGCGAGCGTTGGCGGCGAGAACGAGCTCCGACGGCGTCTTGAGGAAGAAGAAGGCGTTGCGGGCCGCCGTGGGCCGCGCTACATGAGCGCGCGCTCGCGGTAGCGCGGCCTACAGATAGGCGGCCCCGTACACCGCAGACAACAGCCAATGTGCTAAAAAAAAACAGCCAATTTGCGACGGCGGCCTTCTCCGTCCTGAAAAGCCCACCGGAAAACGAAAACTCTAACGCGCGAGCGCGTTAGCGCGCGTACGGGTGCGGCCCGGCCCACTAGCGAGCGGATAAGGCGCGAGCGGAGCGAGCTGCTGCGGGCGGGCGGCGCGGCGCTGCGGCGAGGGCGCCGCCGCGTCGCCGGAGGTGGTTTATTGCGGGCGGCGGAGCGTGGTGGAGAGGGGTGGCGGAGCACGGGCGGTGTGCGGGCGGCGGGTGGATTAACGCGGGCGGTGGAGCTCGGCGTCGAGGTGGCGGCGGAGCGCGGGCCGTGTGCGGGCGCGCGGCGCCGCCGCGTCGCCGATGGCGGTTATCGCCGGCGGTGGAGCGCGCGGACGAGGCGGTGGCGGAGCGCGGGGTGTGGGCGGGCGGTGCGACGCGGCGGCGCGCCCTCGCGTCGCCGGTGGCGGTTATCGCCGGCGGGGTTAGGGGTTCGGGTTGCCAGGGGCGTCGTCGGCGGCGAGGAGCTCCATTTCCCGACGGCTTTAAAAGGAGGTTCGTGGGGGCGGCGGCGCGGCGGTGCGGCGAGGCGGCGCGGGCGCCGCCGGAGCCGCGGGCGGTTGGAGGGCGGTGGGCGGGGCCGGAGGGGGGAGGTCGGCGAGGAAGAAGACGGCGCGGCGGGCGGCGGCGCTCCGACCGGCGTCGTTCCGACCGCCGGTCGGACACGTGGCGCGCACGGGGGCGGGAAGCGCGATTCCCTAACGCGCGTCCCTACGCGCAGTAACGCGGTCCACCGGAAAATCTACCGCTGGCGAGAGCACCACAGCACTTGTTCTCAACCTCCGTTGGCGAGAGCGCCGCGGCCAGTACTTCTCACTCTCACTCGATGATAAGCAGCAACTCTTGTCGGCAGCCGACACCACCTGCACCGATGCACCATTAGAGCTCAGTCATGGCTTCCCAAGTTGTTTTATGCTTGTAATTGCCGCTCTGTCGCCTCTTTTGTGGCGGTGAAGGCAGGCCTACAAGGAGTATTATCCGCCCCCGCTCATAGGTTGCACATCTGAGGTGCGGATCATCGTCCACCAGAGCGGCTTCCATTACCTAACAGCATTAGTCAAGGGAATTATGTAACACAACTGTTCAAGTTTAGGGGATCCATCCAAAGTGCAAGTAACCCTGATGAAACAAAAGGCAATACATAGCATACTAATAGTCGGCTTATATATTGATAAAAAAAATACTCCAAATTTTATGGAGAATTTGCTTGGAAAAAATTGGTATTATGAGATTGATCAGATAATAATATCCATACAGTCTGCAATTAATAATTATAACTTGAAAACTAAAGGACAGCAATCAATTTTTTAAGATAAGGGAAGCTTTATTTCGTTATGAAATAATATTCCAGCTTCTGCACGGGTAGGTACATATAGCCTAAATATATCAGACACCAATAAGAATCAAGACAAATCGGCTTAATTAAAGAAGGGGGAGGGGGGGGGGGGGGGGCAAAACCTCCACCCTCTAGCTGAAAGTCCTCACACCTTGTACCCAAAAAAAAAAAAAGTCCTCACACCTACCATGGCAGCGAAAAGCAGGAATTTTTGAGGAATAAAACAACTAATGTTATGGTTTCCAAGGAGTGTACCTGTTCATAAATCTGAGAGTGCTAGTATTTCTTCGCTCAGCTGATGCAAAAGATTATTCCATGCAGACAGATCGCATCACCAATAATCACCGCAAGAGCATTTGCCATCTCTGAAATGGTGAAAACGGCTTACATCTCGGACCACAATCTCCCGACCAATTACCTTGGACATCAATTTAATAGCCACATGGCAATCATCACAAACGCGTAGATTCTTCATAACACGGATAGTAACTCCTTCAGGTAAGCTCAGCAAAGCAAATGCTATAGCCAACTTTTCACTGTGGTGAACCAAGCTAACTTCTTTTTCCTCATCCTCCATGTCATGGAACACCATGCTCATATTCGGTGCATATCCGCATTGCCTAATCTTGGCTATAATTTCGTCCAAGCATTGATCGATCTCTCTTTGCTTTGAATGGGATTTATCTCCCATGCAAAACTGGTGCACCTGACCCTTAAACTCGACCCAGCTAACTCCGGGCTCTTTCCGCACATTCTGCTTCCTCATGGTTTTTCTTACCTCACTAACATCCTCCCATCTGCTGCTGGTAGCTCGAATATTTGATAGGAGAACATAAGGGGCAGAATCATTAGGGTCCAATTCAATGACACGCCTTGCTATCCTCTCAGCCATGTCAAAATTCTTCTGGGTCTTACAAGCAGATAGCAATGTTTTCCATATGACTGCATCAGGACGCACAGGCATTAACAATATAAGGGCCTCCGCTTCGTTTAGGCAACCTGAACGTCCAAGAAGATCCACAATACAGGTGTAGTGTTCAATACTTGGCTGCAGTCCATATGTCTTAGTCATAAGCTCAAAGCAATCCATCCCTTCGTCTTTCAGACCACTATGGCTGCAGGCATATAGCAAGGCCAAGAAAGTAACCTCATTAGGTTCTACCCCTCCGTTGATCATATGTTTGAACAACTCAACTGCCTTTTGTCCGTGCCCATGGAATCCATATGCTGAGATCATCGCACTGCAAAGGACAAGATCTGAGCCAGTAAACCCAAAGCAAACTCTTTCTGAGTCAGCTAAGCACCCGCATCGAGAGTACATATGCATCAGAGAAGTCATGACCGGCACAACATTGTCGACTCCAGCCTTGATTGCTTGAGCATGAACTTGCTGACCTTGTGCAAGAACAGCCAAGTCTGAACAAGAAGTAATAGCACTCACAAATGTTACTGCGTTTGCTTCTACCCCAGCACCTCTCATCATGCTGAAATACTCGAAGGCCCCCTCTGAGTCTCCATTCTGTGTCCTTCCAGCAATTATGATGTTGCATGAGACAGTATTAAGCGCAGGCAGCGATCGGAGCAAAGTCTCTCCTTCTTCAAGAAAACCACACCGCATATACATGTGAGCCAACGAGCTCCCCACGACCATGTCCCTGTCCAGCCCAGACCGGACGATGTATGCATGGACCTGCCGGCCGGACACAATGTCTCTGAGCCCTGCGCAGCACCGGAGCACGCTCCCAAGGCCAAACTCATCAGGCTGCATACCCTCCTTCCGCATGGCAAAGAAGAACCCCAAACTCTCCACATTAAGTTCCGCGTTAGTGAGTCCAGCGACCATAGCATTCCACGTCGCGACATTCCTCCTTGGCATTTCGTCGAACAACTTCCGCGCGGTTGCCAGGTCACCGTTCTTGATGTATCCCCCGATGAGTATGTTCCAAGACATGACGTTCCGCCAGGGAATCCTCTCGAACAGAATGTGCGCTGACGGGAAGTCACCAAGGTCAGCGTACGCGAGGAGGATGTGGTTCGCGATGAAGCGGTCGCTGGCGGCGCCCGATGTGACGGCGACGGCGTTGAGCTGGCGGACGAGCGGGAGGGCGCGGCACGCCCGGAAGAGGTGGGAGAAGAGGCCAGGTTCCGACCAGAGAGTCTCACGGAGGCGGTGGTGGAGGGCATCCTTGAGGCGGCCGCCGGAGCAGAGGCGGATGATCTCCTCCTTGCCGCCCACTGGTTGGCTGGCGAGTGTCTTCAGCGCCGGCCTGGCCATGTGGTAGCGCGTCAGCAGTAGCTAGAAGCATACTGCCGTAAACATGGCGAGGTCGGGAGATGGCTGACTGGCGATGGAGCAAATGAAACACCACGACGACATTGCCATGGCCGGATTAGCTATGGATTCAGACGAGGCGGGGGAGAGGAAACACACGCGTGGGCCTGCTAGGGCCGCTAATTGTGCAATCCAGCGGCCCACAGAAAGTCAAGTCAGAGGGAGAAAGAAAGAGTGCATGGTCTAAAAACAAACAAAAATAAACAGCTGTACAGAAATGGTCTCATTCAGCATAAGTGAATGAAAATACAACATCGTATTTTTTTTAATAATTTTCTTGATTGGAAGTTGGAGCATTCGAGTATAATAATATGTGTGATTTATTGTCCTATCCATAGCCTTTTTTTTTTAGATGAAGTGCTCTTATTACTCCACAGCAATCACGCAGCGATCTTTGATTTTTTTTTTTTCACAGAGACACAATATCATTTTGAAGTACTACCATACTGCTTCCAAAGTACTACCATTTTTAGTCGCCACTGCAATCGCAAGAGGCATCATCCGTCGATGCTAAGCACACGCTCAAAAGTCAAAATGATGCATTTCTCTACTGAGAACTGGCCGTTGAAAAGTACTCCTACACGCACACGAATTCTTGGCCAAGGCGCAGGTCGCCGGTTTAATTATTGGGCCCGACTAATTTTCAGCTGCCTGAAATCAGGGGGTTGTTTCAGTCGACAACCACAGCCTTCTGATCCCAATCGGACGGTCCATGTTTATGTCAAATTTATTCCATGTATTAAATCTACAGTCAGGACTAAAACAAAAATGTTTTTAATTGTGATAACATAA